ACACTTAGTGAGGAATGGGTAGCCTCACTCAAATCTCAGATTCGTCGACTCCTTTTGTTACCTGAGATTGCGACGCTTCCTAAGGGGTTGAGTCCGTTAGCCTCAATCACCACAGGTGTCTGAGAAGCACCGAAAACGTGATAGCACATAATTCCATCTGAAAATGAAGAATATTAGGGTGAATGAAAGGTTCAATAAGCAGCATGTTATAAAAGACAAGGAATGTAGTAATTGGCTGGACAAAATTAAACTGCAACTTTCGTAATGGATCGGAAACTTGAATACTCCGTCAACAAGTGTCAACTAAATACTATGATCCATAGTTTTATGAACAAAGAGTGTGCCTGCAAGCAAAATTTTCGGCGTACTAAAAGAACGGTTCAGCACTTTGAAGGTGTCGGTAGCGAAATTGGCCTTAATAAATTTTCTTAAGTGGACGTAAATTACCCAAAGCATAGGCAGTGCGGCTTAAGTTTTAGAATACTCAAAACGAGCAGTAACATGAAGCTGTTTCGTAATATAACGATATATACCGTTCATATGTTCTTGCTGGATGTGTCTGGGTGCTAGAAATTCTTAGAATGAAAACGATATTCGGAAGCAGTCGCAAAATTCAGGAAACAGACTCGAAGTTTACAAAGTGTCCCAGTGGTAAATGCTGGTGGGACTCAAAGAAGAACGATCTGGACCGTCAGACAAAACAGTTCCTTATCGGTTCAGTAACGTACCCGCACACTGAAAAAGTTGAGCTCGAAAGTTATGGTAATTCTGTCTGCAGTGGGGCCACATTTATTACAGTCATTACGAAAACCACTGGAGCTGTCGAGGGCTTCTTCCTGACTCATTACCGCTTGCCCTCAGGAGATTCGCAGGTTTACTAAGGTTTCTCCTAGATACTGCAGGAAGGTCTGCCGATCGCCGATAGAGGTGGCCAGGGGGTTCTATGAGAGTCAAAGACCTGGCCACTTTTGGCACTGCTAAACACGATGGTTCCATAAAGCGCCACTGGGGTGACAAACTAAGGTTTTCCGAGCTATTTTGCACCTCTTAGCCAGGGCTTAAGTTACTGCTGAGCAACCAGTGGTCGATAACTGTAGCGAGGCGAGAGTGAAGTATTTTTGGTTGAACACCAGGTAGGACAAGGCGCTATCACTAGACATGTCCATGGACGGGTTGCAGCGTCACACACTTCCCCAAAATCAATAGCCTAGGGTTTGACGACTTTCGACATTGATGCTGACCTTGACAGTTTAACTGGACTTGCTAAGCTGAAGGCACCCGGTCAAGCATCCTTGCCATTTGGCACGCTGTCGTGTTACGTTGCACTGCTCGTATTCGACTCCCTAGCCAGTTAATTGGAACGCATCGGTATTTTGGCACAACCATACAAATATACTATTCCATCCCACTAAACTATCGTGTTCTTCTTTGGTCTCGTATTCGTGGGCATATAACATGTCCGAATAATTGGTGATTGGTCTTTGCGTCTGTCAAGTTGGCACCAGGACAAATCCTAAAGGGTATTTAACAAACGAGGAACGATGATGTGGCTGAAATAAATTAGACAGTCAGAAGTAAATAATCTTATTGATATTTTGCTGGCCATACCTTGCTTTTCGGATCTAATGGTTCTAGTGAATCCGCATTCCATTGGATAAAACCCTGGAGTGTGAGTGAATGAGAAATACAAGACTGAAGATGTAGCAACGTAAGCTGCAGCTAGACCTAACATACAGTCGTTCGCTGGAAACCTGATGACAGTGACTAAGCAAGCGTTAAGTTTTTCCAGCTAATTCTCACAGAGTCAGTTAGATGGAAGGTGAAATTTCCAACTGAATAGCTAGCTACCCCTTAGTCATTTTAAAGGTAGGATGGTAGTGCAGCATGACAAGTTAGTATTCAGGGTACGCATGTTCTTTAGGGAACTCTGCAGTTCCACAAGAAATCTCCGGTGCATTTGCTGAATTTTTTCAGACACCTTAAGGGCAAACTCCCAGCACTATTTGTTATAACAGACTAATGCTTACCAGTGGACTTTAAAGCAATAAGCGCGGTAGTTTGATTGTGGTATGGATGTCGGCGGATCACACCTGAAGACATATACATTTAGCATGGAGCTGAGCTGTGGGGGGTGTGCTCAGGCTGCCAAAAAGGTTCTTATGAGTCTTGGAGGTAAGTCAAATATTTTAGGCTTGTTAAGATTTCTTAGATGCTGTAAAAAAAGTTGAAACAAGTGTGCAAAATAATACAGTTACCGTTGAGACTAGTTTACCAGCTGACAATATATTGAGAAAACTAGAAGAAACAAAAAAGAAGGTCACTTTAATAAGTTACTAAACAGAATCCGATGTGTTTTCAACGTGAAGTGATTGGATTTCGAATGAACTTTTCACAAATATTTGCATAAGTGTGCATATGCGTACTCTTGTACTCCTGTGAATATGTATCACAAATTATTGATCGGGTTTAGTGTATTTCTTGAGCCGCAAATCCCATCCAGGCTGTAACAGCCATGACATTGTGATCTACAAATATCCTATCGCTTATTTTTGCATACGTGACTTTTGTACAAATTGTTCTGCTTGAATTGTGACTGCATGAACGTGTAACAGACAGTTGGGAGCTATCTATTTAACTTTTCAGTTTTCGAAATCTTTAAGAATAATAAGATTCCAAAATTGAGATTTCCCAGGATCCTAGGACGGGTTTATTGGACCTAACGTGGCATTATACATGATGTATACTAGCCTTGTGTAGTTTTCAAAGGCTAGGCTTCTTCTACATTCTAGTTCAGCAGCCTTAAGATTCCTGATGAATTGTAGTTTAGAAATACGAACTCGTCGTTTATGTGACATTTAGGCGGCCATCTAGGGTGATTAATACCTGTCATTCGACTTCATGTTGCTGTTGGACACCAGATCAATGGACACTGATGTGCATTTTCTAGGTTTCCACTTTAAAGTCACTACTTTTTGAAGGACAGTATCTATTCAAGGCAAAAAAAATCCATTGAAAATCAATCAGCTTCTATGCAATTTGAATACAATTGTCTATTTGAGTTATCATAAAGGTGAGCCCAAGTCCTACCGCGCTGTTTGTTCACTATCCACTTTGCATGAAGTCAGGATTTTATTTCTGTTCTTATGCCATTGTCCAGCTATGAAGGACCATAGTATACCAATGGGGAGCGGTTTGAATGTACTAGAGAAGTTGACTCACAAAAACAAACTAACAATTAACTAAATGAAATACTGAAGTCATGTTTTCTCCACACATATATGTCGCAGGGTTGTTTACTTTATTCACGAACAAACCATTTCATCCCCTGGTTGAGGGTGGTCGCGTAAATGTAGTGCATTTGTGAAGTATGATCACAACATCTCTTTATATCTGATCGCCAGTTTCTTAATGGTACTTTTCTAAAGAAATGAGTAGACTTCAGGAACTTATTTCGCCATTCAGTTGCATGTGTTTCATTGAGAAGTGAATCATTGTTATTTGTCTGGGTCACTGCTGGAACTGGCTGAAGTACACTTCAAGTATGTTTTGGTGGATTTTAAGGTTAAGAAACAAAACAATTATGTATTTCACAGAGGTGCGTTGGATCCAGTTGTCTTAGTTTACAAAAGTATACCAGGTAAAAAAACATTTGGAAAGACGCTAGAATAATACAGACGGAGAAACAAATGAATGAAAGTCACTTGGAAACTTTGTATACAGAAAAAAACTAGCAGTGAATATATCTGCACCACTGCGACCAATTTTAAGCAACATCGTTCACAATTTCTCAAATTATCAATCTTGAGTGCTCCAAGAACACCAAATAGGTATTCCATCACAATCAGTATCTTAACGATTTGTCAACATGTTTTTCCCCCGCAAGTGGATTTAGTTTAGTCAATTATTACGGTGGCTTGCACTGCAAATCATGACGTGTAAACGCAAAACTACTTTCTGACGGTAAAATTGGTATGAATAATGGAGACAATCAATTTTCGGCACAGGACAATTGGTTTTTGAACAGGCTAGTTGAATTGAAGCAGTATATGCACTGACGACTCGGTACAGTATGAGCAGCAATAAACGCACCATAAATTTCAGACTCATCATTCTACCCATCAGCTACAGAAGCCATCAAATGCAGATCGAAAACGGGGTTAGCACCAATTCAGTCTAGTTTTATCTTCCACAGTAACACTACGAAAAACGTTAGGCGGCTAAAAAAGGTTTTATGTCGACGTTAAAGGCTTTTAGATAATCCATACCTATTCTGCAGTTACTTCCAGTTTTATCGCATATCTATTAACGTTTTCGGTGTATCACATTATACAGCTCCCAACTGGATCATAAATAGCTCGAAAACGTTAAGTGCTTCAGACACACCTTAACTCATAAAATAATTCTGTATAATTTCTTATGCAGACTAGTCTATCATCGAGTCAGCTTACTGTGCAACGCGGTCATCAAACAGTTTTCAGATCAATATAGAGGAGGATGTTATGATTTCACTTCGCAGTGAACAACATAAGTTGCGAGAACATTATATAGTGTGCATTAGCTCGCCATCATTTTATCGCACACAGTCAAATTTTTACTGATATTACAACTTGTAGCATCTAAAGTTAACTGCATATCGATTCGTTCATTTATGAAGCTGTCTATATCTGTCGACGGAAGCCTATTACATGTGTCTGCGTCATCGAAGCTTGTTTTGTGAAATGATAATATGCGACCTTTTCAGTCAGAAAACATTCGTAAAGCTGTACCATTACTTGCCAGAATATGTAAGATTTTACGATATCACAATATGAACCTTATACTGCGGAAAGCAGAGATATAAGTTCTGTATCGTAAGTATTCCATACTAAAAGACATTTTTCTGGGTTTAAAGACACAATGGTGTTCAACACTGTTGTTTATCTTCATACTTTGCATTTTGAATAACGCACATGAAGTTAATATCCTAATGTTTGATGTTCTCTTAGCCTTTTCCTTGGACATTTCATCACCAGGCTAGGCGACTTCACCAGCACTTTACTCCTATATGAAACATCTAGAGATGAACACTGTCCTCATCCTGAACTACAAATCTTGTGCACTGACTGAAACAAATATGTTGAAACGTCTCTCATACTTAATCAATCATCATAAATATTTATTTTCACATAGATGAGACATCTTCAAAGGTTTGATTAGCCCTGATCTGTTAAGTTAGCTACCAAAATACAGTTGTCTTTAATTCAGAAGGCTGTTTGCTTGTGAAATCGAGTATCAGTTGTCCCATCCTTACATTTTCCGATTAGAGAATCTGTGTTTTTAGGTGTTACAGATACCCTTCGAATCCTGTTTAACTAGAAGATATGACTATGTTTCGCAAAATTATATGTGTGTTGAACATCAGACAAAATGTGCATTTAAAAATCATGACCATTTTGCGGCAACAGAAAATTCGTCAACGTTTTACGCGGTGTATATGAATTTTTATAAGAGTGAGGTTTTGATTAGTTGGAAGAATTCACAGTTTAACGGAATACGTGTGTGATACAGCAGTCTTTTGCCAATACGGTAAAATAGAAACAATTGTGCATCATTCATTCTTTGATTTCTTAACAAGCTTCGGTTTGTTGTTATCATCAGCTTCATAAGGTGCTATTGTTGTCATTGAGACACGCTCTTCATAATCGTGTTCAAAAGATCCAGCGAACCAAAATCCTATCACTAGTATCAAACTAATCAATACTAGAAAGCTAAACAGTGCTATTATTCCAAGCATTAGGATAACTGGTTTCCCAAATTCATTTTGTAATTTCTAGTGGAATGAGAAAAAAATAATAGAAATATCAAGAATTCACCAAAATTATTTGAAATACAAAGAGTTTAACGTTCTGGTGAATAATAACACTAGACAGGCAGAACGTAGAACCTCGCATATAAGTGTATCGGTTCAAGTTGTCACACTTCACAGCAGAAAGGTGGATGGAATAACACTGATATCAAAGTAGACGATGGTGTACACGTAGCAATGAAATTTGAAAAGTAAGGCCAGTCAAAACATTCAAGCTTTAAAAGACGTCTAAGAGCGAATACATCTGGACCATTGTGACCGATTTTTAGCCATTTTATCAAGTGTCCTCAGCCACTGGTTCCCATCGTCTAGGGGACCCAGCCGGGTGTTCTACATATGCTTACAGGGCTCAGACCGACAGTCAGGGACTTTATCAACTGATGCCATGCGTCTTGATCTGGCCACCCTGAACCCTCTTCTAACCTAATCCAAATCCACCTAACATGGCATGTTGAGGTGGACGGTGGCTCCGCATTCTCAACACATGTCCAAGCCACCTCAGATGATGAATGTAATGTTGAATAAGCATACTACTTTCTGTTATATCAGCCGAAAAGTGGAGTACGTAAATCTCAGATCAGTGTCACCGGTCATATTACTTTATAAGTCATCTTATGAATTCAACATTATTGTATAGCCTCGGTCCAAGCGCTTTCCATTAACCCCTCCCCCATTTATGCATGAATTATAGATAGGAAATAACTGCATACTAAGTGAGATCCATTATTGCGCGTTGTGGTCAGGTAATTTAGTTGTATACACAGATGAATCAGATAACCCAAAATATTCGGACAACAACGGTTGAGGGGGGGGGGGTCGGACTGCATGGCCAAAAGAGTGGGTGGGTTAAGTGTGCAAAACTGAGCAAGTATATTCGACATCAATCACGTCCAAGGTCCGTATTACTTGGCACATCTTAGAAAATGTGGTGTATCCAAACTCGAATTATTTTGTCGTATCATAAAATGAACTGACGTTTTCTACGTTTAACTGGTGAAGATGCAGCGGTCAGAAAATACTAAATCAGAAACTCTAGTTTTTGCAGCTTCATTTATTTACACACCCTATTCCTTGAAGTGAATGCTTTCGGTGAGATATTATTTTTTCTGACACAAGTAGAATCACATATTCAGAAGCATAAGTGACAACTAGTCATGATATGGTAAAAAACTACAAAAGCAACGTAGAGTGATTAATGAAATAAACTTGATGTATCGATTGCTGATTTAACTACATTGAAAAGCCTTTGCTTGATTTAGCAATGCATAAATGAACCAAGCAGTATTTCATTCACTACAGTGTACATGCTACACGTCAAAACCATGTGAAAAAAGGATTATTAATTATACTAAACATACAGAAGTATTCTCTGACCGACTCCGTATGAGACAAGAGTTAAACCCCATAATAATTCTTTTTAAAGCACCTTATCATAGACGGTCAATGTAAATAACACTATGAGAAAGTTCAGTTGTTCACACTTGCGTGTCTGAATAACTAGCCAGTGATTAGCCTTGTATTAATTACAGTAATAAGTGTGAAATGAATAGCTTGATGGTAGTCCATTACCCTAACGATGAGTAGCCATGACTCTCGTGGGTGGCCAAATACCCCATTATAGTTACGTGTCAGCGTGAAGCTCTACACGGTACGGTTAAGTGGTGTGGGTGTTTGAGCTGCTGGTTACGAAAACTGGAGACGATATGCATATTCATGATTACTGACCGAACCCAGTTACGCAGCGATGATGAACCTTTACCTGAACCTACTGGGTTTGAACCAATACACCGTCAAAGTTGACTTGGCGGTAATGGCAGTTGACAAGATCTATGTACGTAATTCAGTGCGATGGGTCTCTAAAGTACAAACGGACCAGTTGACCGTCAACATTCTGCCCAACAGGCTGAGAGCAGTGCAACGAGAAGGTAAGGGAATCCAGCCTCCTAACTCTAATAGTCACTGTTGTTGAAGGAATCCAAGAGAGGTGATGTGGCCAGCCTTGAGAAGATGAGCAGTATTCGGTTCGGAATACCGCGTATCGTTTCGCCGTAGACTTGGCCTATGAAAGGTAGCCTAGGAGCAGCCACCTTGTCTAAAATGTTCGTGAGAGGAGAATCATCTTCTGGGAAGGCTAGGTCCATCGTTTTCTAAAAGATTATGAAGACTTGGACGTATTTCATGCACGTCTGTCAACGGGGAGGCGAATAAAGTCAACGACCCAGTTAATATAACTACGTTGAAACCTCGATAGTCGGGGCTTGGGATTCAGTGGTCAGTTTGCGGGAGCGTTAACAAAGTGGTCTTGTAGGAGTAATCGTTTTCGTGTGGATGTATTGCTATGGCTGTTTCCTGCTCGGTGGGGGGAACGATCCCCCAAGCTTTGAGGGTAGTGCCACCTGAACAGACAAGGTTCGGTCTGGAACTCGAAGGTGAGCCGGGAAACGGAGTAAAACCCTCTTGAGTAAACTAAGGATGGGGTATATATGAGGTTTTTGAAAACTGTCCGAACGCCTTGCTGAAAAGCATGAGAGTTGGATCAAGAGATTCTCGCCTAACTGTAAACATCTAGCATCAAAGAAACGACAATGTTTCAAATGAATACTAAAGTATTCGACCGATGATCGTGCCACTCACTCTATAGGATAATAATAAAAAGTATCAGTTAACTCATATTTAACTGGAATATCGTGGATGATGCAAGTATTTAAAGTGAGCAGGATCACTTAACTTATGACACTATATAAGTACATCATGAACGCAGCATACACACACACAAGTGCAAACCAATCTAGATGTGATTTAGATAAATTCGAGTTTATTCACATCACGGATATGCAGAAATACACAGGCATCACAGACCGGTAACTCTAATTGCTACCTTAACAACGGCTAGGATAGTGAATTGGGCGACTTTAAAGACCACCCTAGCAACTGGTGAGACAACCAATTACATTCCTTTACTTTGTGGAAAAATACTTATCCAGGTTAAATACCAAAGCCTGATTGGTCATTTCAGTTGTTGCTAGGGTGGCCTTTAAAGTCACACTCACTGACCTAATTACAGAGTCAAAACTCCGTGATTTACCTGTTTCAAACAAGCAGATAGTTGACTCATGTTTATCGTTTGCATTGTTGACATATTTTTCTACAGTTAACATTAGTAAGGCAGGCAAAACATTAAAACACACACAAACAACAAAATCACGGGCAATCTAACTTTGAACAGGAACAAGTCTTGAGGAGAAAAAAGAATCCCACCGAATCTTGTTTACGATCAGGAAGAGTGGAATCAAACATTAGTTCAAAATAGAAATAACGTTAGAAAGGTGCTTCGTTTCAAGGTCAATCCCAGCCTAGTAAAGTCAGTAAAGAGTACAAGAAATTTTCGTTTACTCTGAAAAATGGAGAACTAATGGCTAGTCGGTTTATTTTTCTTATATGGACAGTAAACAGGCTAGTTGTCTATTTTGTTTCATGTCATAGTGATGACTAATTTTTCAATAATATATAAGTCAGACTAGAACTTCTGCCCTCTCCTATGATTTTGAAGAAACAATGTAACTAGGTTCAGTCTGACTCAACTCATCTGTTGCTCTATCGGTTTTCACTTTTGCTATACTCTTTACAAACTACTATATAATTAATGGCAAAAGATCTCCTTAGGGCTCCTTTGAAAGTGTTTAAATTGTATGCATCGAAAGCGCATCAGTAATGCATTCGTTTCACTGACGACTTCATTGACTAGTTCAGCCCAACTGGTAAGTCTACAACTAAGATGGATGGTGTGATATAACCATATTTTAAGGATTCGAAAGAAGTGAATGTAATAGTTTCATTCTGGTTGATTTATTAGATATATCACCCAGTGAAATAGTGCATGGGTTTTGCCTGCTGTTTTACCCATGACCTTAAAATAACCTACATAGCTTTTTCACGCCGTTACCAGGTTTTCCTCCATCTACTTTCAAGGCTGAACTCTCATTGGTTGTTCACTATATGTGGGTTTAGTGTTGCCAAGGTCATTCAGAAATGTTTATATTCAGCATCGCCAATAATTGTATTGAATATTGTTGAGACAGTAAAATGGGTTCTGTTAACGGTTCGTCTTCTCTTCGCGCATCGGCGGTATTGAAGTGACAGTAGCTGGCGTTCTGACTTGCATTAGAGTCAAGTTGTCTGCGCGATAGGTTCGTATCGTTTGTAGTCTGCTAGGCTCATAGGCTGTTACGTCATACTAACGGTCATAGCAAATAGCATTATTTACTGGCTCCTATCACGATGAACAAGTTTTACTCTAATACAAATCTATATTTACCGAGTCAACACCAAACATGTGCAATGGAGATACTCATGGATGATTATTCCTGAGGAGTCCCATACTAAGACGAAACAGCTGTTCAGTGCTCCAAGGTTTTCTATAGTTCTCCAACTGATAAATACCACCTTGAAAAGAAATATTTTTTCGAACAAATCTTGAAACACCTACTCACGAGCAAACACTGTCCTAGAATATAACTATTATTGGTTAGATGATACACATCAAACACTTGAATAATGTTTGATTAGCGCTCAACTGTGCATGTAGACACTTGGAAACTTTCAGTGGACAATTAATCTTCTTTACTTTTAATTCAGTAAAAACAAATGACCACAACATCTATTATTCTACAAATGATGTACCTAAACACACACACATCGATGAGTGACTAAACCACAGTTTAATTGATTTTTTAAGAAAGGATATTCAGTACAGTTTGGTCAATTTACATGATATGCATGATATATATATATATGCTAATTTATGCAACCAACCAGTGATCAGTATGAGAGTTAACGGCGTATATTAAAAAAAATGCATACTAATCTATGGATTATAAGTGGTTTTAGGTATGTATATCAGTGTATAAGGGTGGATGTAGACGATACAAAATAGGCTGTGACAACTGAAGAGAATTGCAATGTGTGATTCAGTTGGCTGGATTATTTGAGATGGCTACTAAAGCGGAAACAGTAGTCCACACTATTATATTATTATTTATCCCTTGGGTTCCTAGTGGAACAAAGGGATTTAATAGCACATTTCCGCTTCACTCTGTCCTCTGCAGTCTTTTCAACCTGGTTCCATGACTGCCTAGAAGCTTTCATTTCTTCCTCACACCATCTCCCCATATCACCGTCGGACTACCAACTAATCGTTTCCCATATCGGTTCCACTCGAGGGCCTGGCACGTGATGCCCTCGAATGGTCTTCTCAGTGCATGCCAAACGCATCTCCACTTTCTTCTGTATATTTGTTGGGCGACAGATTCTTGGTTGGTTCGCTCCGAGTTCCTTATTGCTTATTCGTATCATTCTGGCCATCTGATCTCCAGTATTGAGTGAGTGTAGGCGGCATCTGTTGATGAATGTCTGTAGTTTGTTGGGAATCCTTATCGTAACGCTCCAAGTCCCTCAACCATTACATAGAAGCACTGACCTACTTGATTGAACTAGTGTTGAAAATCCGGATCTTGTTCACGCTTTATGCTGACTGCAGTAGATCTCCATACCGATTTCAGACTAATGAAGGATGGCCTGTCTTGTTGTGCTTCTGATCCTGACTTTGACATCCTCATCTGTGCCACCTGTGGTTGAAATGATGTTTCCTAGGTAGGTGAAAGAGACTACTTCCTTTAGGTTTCTCCCGTTGATGATGATTGCTGCTTGTTGTTGGTTGGGTACCTTCATCACCTCTGTCTTCTCTACATCCACCTGAAGGAAGTCCTGTCCTCCTTCGCCGCCCTGCCTCTTCGGCCAACTTGTTGGTTTTCACCTGTAGATCTTCCAGTTTGTGCGACAAGACATTAGACATAAATGATCATCGGCAAAATCTAGATCTTCTTCTGGGGCATTTTCGTCGGTCCAACCAGCATATGCTCCTCACGGTTTCCTGCATGATCCAGTCCACCACAATCAGGAAGAGTAGTCTATATAGCGGTGTATTATAAGAAAATCCCTCCCACATGTCCTCTGTAGTTATATTTATCCCTACTGTTTAATTTTTTTCTTTGAGCATGTTCATTATTGGTTTATATTCTTACTGTCAGTGTTGTTGAAACTCACAGGAGTACTTATATCAGTTTCCGTATTTTAGTGAAACCATATTTATATTCATCTTTTGTAATACAGTATATTTAGCTGTGATTTGCTTTGTGTTCGAAGCTTTGTTTTACATACACTAATGTTGTTGTTTTATTCTGCTCAAGGTTGTATAAGAGGCCAATATTGCTGTGGCTTTGATTTGGTTGTCTACTTGAGACATTCCTGTTATTTGATCTGACTACTGCAGACAGATATTTGAGTCTATTTTGTTGGGAATACCCTTCAATTTTTCATTAATATGTTTACACTGGTTGGTAACTGAAGGTGAAATGGATATTTAGGCCGTGACAGGATTTGAACCACTGACGTACAAGATTAGACTGCTGGCCAGATTTTTATTTTACTTCAACCATTAAGGATTTTACTCGACTGTCAAGAGAATTCTTGACTCATTTTTATCGCTTGATCGTACTCTTACAACGGCTCCCCAGTTTGGCCTTCGCATCACAGTCGATATCTACTTGAATCAGAGAGGAGGAGCATTATACCGATTATCAGTTTGTGACTATATAAGATAGCTGTGGTTTGGCGGACTTGCATTGATGCTAGGTGATGATGATGTCAAACAAGTTATTGTTGAATACTGTAGATAAAACCACACTAATCATGTTTTGTTATCACTGAGATAAATTTGGGCTACGCATAACTCAAAGAAGCTGAGTGGACCATACATGAAGAACGCAGTCGTACCTTTTAGTCGAATCGAAACCTATTCTAGACTATTCACTACGTTCTGATCACGATAATTGTATTTCCTAATGCATTTTTTAGGTGAACGGGGATTTTTAATTTGGAGGTAGTATTCATCAGGAACTGATGTCATTTACAGAACCGTTTAAATGTGGGAGCACTGCACAGCTATTTCGTCCTAGTATGGGACTACTCAGAAGTAAGCGGCTGAATGGTTAACGCGTTCGCCGTGAAACCTGAAGGTCTTGAGTTCGATCCCCAAATGATATCAGTCCATGATGAATATTACATCTGAATTGTAATTTCGTCATCCCAGTCCTCATTCATTGAAAAAATAACAAACAAAAACAGTAGTCAAGATATAATAGTTTGATATATTCGAGAGCTGCTAGAAATTATATGGATAGTCAAAAATAGTGTTAGAAAGCGATTTTAGAAATTTTTTTCTTCACTCAATGGTTTAATCTCTATAGAGAGTATTGGAGAATGAAAAATTCAATGAAGATGGTAACACTGAAAACATCTAAATTAGTGTGATCAACTTTGCGCCATAACACTTATGATCACGAACAACTACACGACGGTTTCTGCACTTGGTCACGTAGTGTGTGTGTGTAAGGAATAAGTAAACTAACTGACTGTACAAAGCATGGTAGGCAGGAGGAGGGTTCGAGCTGGCTAGAAATTGAGCACCTAATTCATTGCACTAAATCTCTACTTCACTGTTCAGAATTGAGTAAGTACTAGCCAAAGGATTAATGGAAAATACGAAGACGACGATGCTGATTTAATCGATTTGCGAGATAACCGATCATCTATCTCACATTTATGATAAAAAATACATGACTCATAAGGTGATATATTTATTCCATGAAACAGCACTATTCTGGATATATTTAATTCTCCGGTGTGAACTATTTAAAAAATGTCACATCGACTGCTTCCACTTCGAGTTTCTGACTCTAAATGTGATGGATGCATTGAAAGCATCGGTGTTTATTACTTTATAGACTACATTTCTCACGCTGAAGCATGCCTTACATCTCCCAGTTTGATATAGGTAAGTTAAGATACGGAGGGGACAGCTGTAAGACGAAAAATGATAATTAACAATAGGAGCAACTGTATAAACTGAGGTACATATATGTATGTCTCACTTACCAAGGTGAATCCAACTAGAGTCTCAATTATTTCATCACTGTGAAAACAAATTAAAGATTGATGGCGAAATATGAATATCGGGAATGCAAAGATAATGTACTACAACTCAAAATCGACATCCACCCTGCAATATTAGTCAAAAAGTGGAAAATTTAAATCTCCGATAAATATCATTAACCGTATTATTTTCTTTATTTTAAAAGTTATTTTATTTATGACTTAATTAGTAGCTCCGTACAAGAGCATTCGATTGACTCCTCATCGATTTCTGTATGACTTATGATTAGGAAATAATCTCTTGTTGAAAGAAATCAGTTATTTTGCATCTTCTCATACATTGTACTTGAAATTGGATGTTTTATTTTTCATAAATTTTCAAACGCTGTCATCAGGTTGGACTGTGTGATTTTAAATAAAGCTGTGCATATACATAATACAGAGAAAGACACTGACCAAGGCATATAAACACCGAGTGCATCACTTACTAACTTGACTGAACTAGTGTTGAAAATCCGGATCTTGTTCACGCTTTATGCTGACTGCAGTAGATCTCCATACCGATTTCAGACTAATGAAGGATGGCCTGTCTTGTTGTGTTTCTGATCCTGACTTTGACATCCTCATCTGTGCCACCTGTGGTTGAAACGATGTTTCCTAGGTAGGTGAAAGAGACTACTTCCTTTAGGTTTCTCCCGTTGATGATGATTGCTGCTTGTTGTTGGTTGGGTACCTTCATCACCTCTGTCTTCTCTACATCCACCTGAAGGAAGTCCTGTCCTCCTTCGCCGCCCTGCCTCTTCGGCCAACTTGTTGGTTTTCACCTGTAGATCTTCCAGTTTGTGCGACAAGACATTAGACATAAATGATCATCGGCGAAATCTAGATCTTCTTCTGGGCATTTTCGTCGGTCCAACCAGCATATGCTCCTCTTCTCGCTCCTCACGGTTTCCTGCATGATCCAGTCCACCACAATCAGGAAGATCATCGGTGATAGTAGGCGACAACTTTGTCTTATTGCTTCCTGTCTTCACTTCAAAGAGGTCTCCATTGTCAATTACTTGGCGCGTAACATCATCATATAGCATATAGCCACTGTTGAATGATGTTCATAAATGTTAAATGATAAATGTTTGCGGCACTGAAACTGTAGTGTTGAAGCAACTGCCTGCCAAAATACTTCTCGGTCGACGCTGTCGAATGCCTGTTCAAAATTGATGAAGTTGAGGTTGAGTTGAGTTGACTGTCATTCTATTCTCTGTTGTATAATGATTCGTAGCGTGGCGTTGCAATTCGATCCACACATGATTTGTTCTTTCTGAAGCCAGTCAGCCCGTTCCGGTCGTAATTTTGAATGCAGAACACCATTTAGTCTCTCCAGGATAATGTGGCATATTATTTTGCCTGGGATGGACAGCAGCATGATTCCGCCCCAGTCGTTGTTCTTGCAAAGATGTAGGTCTACCTTGTTTGGGAGTTTGACAAGGTAGCCTTTCTTCCAATCGACAGGTACCTTTCCTTCCTTCCAAACCTTCTACAGTAGTGGTGTGAGCATGTCCGCTGCTGATGTCTCTGCGCCTGTTTCCATTGTTTCTGGAGGAATCCCATCTGGTCCTGCTGCTTTCCTAAATTTCAGCAACTTCATGGCGTTCAGGAATTCTGTTTTTATCTGAGGGTTTGTGTTCACTGGTATTTCAGCGGTTGTAGGTGGTAGGTACTTCTGGACGAGTTGCAAGTGGTGGTCGATTCAAGAGCTTTATGAAGTGGTCAGCCCATCGTTTCGTTGTTTCTCTTCTTTGGTAATTATATTTCCTTCATCTTTTATTGGTTTCATCTGCTTTGATCTCTTCCCAGATAGTAACCTGGTTATTTGATGTAATATTGTCAGGTCTCTCTGTCTCTCCTACCTGCAGCCTGTTCTGCTTCACTTGTCGGTGTGTTGTAGAAGTGTGTTTTGTCTTTGTGCGCACTCTTCTTCACTTCTTTTTCCAGTGTAGTGTTTTATAGGTTGTTTTCAGTTCCTCTTTTCGTTGTTCATCCTTGCACTGTTTCATCTTCTGCTTCACCACTTTCCTCTCCCTTCTCTATCAGTTTCGATGTGTCTGTGGAGATCCATTCCTCGTCTTGCTTCTTCTTTCCTCCTAACACGGTTATCCGCGTTTCTTTCCACATCTCTTTCAAAGAGTCCCAGTGTTCTTCCACACAGGTTTCCTCGGCAATGTTGGTAGATGTCTTCCATTTTTCCCTGATGGCTGGTTGACGTTAAGATTTCCTTTGTAATTTCGACCTTCATTTTCTGTTCTGGTTGTTGAACTTGAACTTGAATTGTGGTCTATCACCAACTTCTGTGAAGACTTTCAACTTGGTTTTAAAGGTAGGTTCCTTGCACTAGATAGTGAGTTGTGTGAACCTACATCTGCTCCCCTCCTTCATCTAATCTTTTGTCCAGTAGGCTGCGTCTCCACTTTCTTCACACTAAAAATGAAGTCGATCTGATTTCTGTGTGTCTATCCTTTGAAATTCATGTTGCTTTGTGGATATTCTTGAGTTTGAACACACTACCAAGCCTCCAATCACCAAATCGTTGAGTGCGCAGAAGTCTGCAAACAATCCTCCATTCTCGTTCATTTCACCGAGTGCCTCTCGACCCAAGATTTGTTCTCCACCTGTATTGTCTGCTCCCAGTTTGGCATTCATGTCGCCCCACCCATTAGAATTTTGACGTCGCCAACTGGGGTGGGGTCTTGTCCAGTACTGACTGCAGTTGTCTGTGGAATTCCTCCTTCTTTTCTTCATCTGCATTATTTGTAGGTGCGTAACGTGGCATTGTATGATTGTGACTTCCCTTCCTTTTGAGTTGAACCTTGCTGTCATGATCCTTATGGTGGGGAAGATTGGTTCCCACTGTATGAGAGCCTTCGATGCTCTTGGGACACCATGATAGCCACTCGAAAACTCATTGTGCTTATAGTTGTCGTCTGGGTGACAATATCGGAGTAGATTATTGACTCTCCGGTTGATAGTTTAGAGAGTCCACTTAGATTCGATCTGCAGATTCCTAGAATTTCTATGCTATACCTTCTCATCTCTTTTGCAATCTGGGCAGCCTTGCCAGCCAGCCATCTTGAAACATTGTTCGGACATTCCATGTCCCCATTCTTACTATTGCTTTCATCGAGAGAAGATATGTCGGCTAATTGGCTTCCCGAAGGCTTTCACCAACCGGTGTCATTTCGTCTCTCCGATTCCAGCGAGGAATAAGTTTAATTTCATTTTGTATATTTACTTTGTGCGTTGAAGTTTGTTTAGCGGTTAGATTGGTTTTCCGAGGTAGGGTTGCTAGCCCTATGCCCAACCTTCCCCCTTTATCGGGCTTATTACCGGCTAGTAACTAGTGAGGTGAGGTTCTACTATGACCAGTAAGTAATCAACTGTTAACTTGGTAGAATTTTCCAATAGTCTAAAGACTCGATATCACGGTTATCTTTTTGACAGAAATAGTCGATGAAGTGAACGTCATGCAAAGTTTTATACACATGAATGGATACACCGTGCTGTTTCTGTCATAATGAAATTCAGACAGTTACGTGCTCAGGAACTTCTATTTACTATCTTAACGTGGCAAAAGTGTTTTTACAAAGGCAAAAAATTGAAATATTATGTGAAATATTTATGCCAAATTGGTGGACGCGATTCATCCTGGATGGGAGTAGAATACTTTTTATGCCAAACCAATGATGCATATCGACTGCGTGGAATCTTCTAATGAATTTATTCTGATTGCCAGAATTTACGGGAATGCAAGGATTGAAGTTGTTCAACTGTCATGCGGATACAACATTGATATCAAGAGCGTGTAAAGTGGTTCTCTATGAAAGTTATCAGCTTCGGTGTCATGAGTACTAGGACATTGTTTTAACTCTCAAACAAATCATAATGTAACATTCGAAAATGAAGTTTTAAGAGAGTCTGACTAGGTTTTTTATCCTGGTCTTAGCTGTATCATTACAAACATTTTAATCAACTCATTATTGGATTAAGTATGACTTTTTCCACTGTACGCCGTGTATTTGCTGCACTGAAATGCTTCTCGTTGCTTGAATTCTTAGTTTGTCTGTACCGTTTCGAATGACAGTAGTTCCTACTGATTCCAAGGATAGTGGCCTAGATGTCATCCCCCTCAGTAGCTTAAGATGCTATCACATATGACTTAGTATAGACATCTCTGAACGGATGTCCTACAAGTTAGGGTACAAGAACAATGAAATCTGTTGGGAGATATATTTTACGTGATCGCTGTTTCTTTTTTCTCCTCTTGTTACTGTTTTTTGTCTATCCATTCGTTCGTTTTACTTTTCGACAGTGTTAATGATGTCAGGTAGTAGTTGTGGGCAATCAACAAGGATTTATTACTTACTCAGGCTTGGGAATAGTCGGAGAGGAGGATCCGAACCAGCGTCCCTCAGAGACAATATCATTTAGCTGTTCAGTTGCTGACTAACCTTTTGGATAGCTGGGACAGATATATTAACTAATTATCGCAGAATAACCAACGGCTGTTAGGGATGCCTATATCTCTTAGGCACCATAGTTCCCAGTTTGTGTGTATTTCAACTGTTTTACTTCGCGCTCTTATTCTCGCATATGAGTCATTTTTCGTATGACCCGTTAGCGTTCTGATTGGCTCTCGTCTCCTTGAATGTACTAATTATTCCTTGCTCTTCAAAGTTACCGTAAACTCTATAAATAGGGCCCATTTTAACTAATAAACGTTTCTCAGTCCGAGATAACTTTCTATCCATCATCAATATCAACATAGGACCAGGCATTACCGCGTAACGGTCCGAGTTGCCACAGCTCATGTCACTACATCAAGTAAAAAGGTGGTGAGGCGCAAGATTAAGATCAGAAAACTCAGTCAAAAGAAATACAAAGTACGAAAAGAAAGAAAGAAAGGATGACAAAATGGTGAGATTCGGTTTAGCGTTAAGATGAGGATAATGTGCGTATACATCTGTGCCACTAACATCGGTTCTGAGCCATGTAATCACCTAGAGTCTCCAACCACTGGCTCCTCTTGTCTCGCGGTCCCCAACCGACTAGTCTACATCGCCCCACATGGCTCAAACCAACAGTCAAACACTTCATAGGTTGATACCATGTCTTAGATTGACCACCTCGAGCCTTTTTCCAGCCTGAACCTATTTCGGCCAACATTATGTAACGAGGTATACGTAACACATGTCCTTACCATCTCAGCCGATGAAGGTTCACAACCTCGTCAACAAATTTACCTCTACTCCCTAAAACTCTATACCTGACTTCTGTATTACTCACCTGGTGACACCACGGAATACAGACTATACTATGAAGGCAACGGTGTTCAAACACCTGAAGCCTTCTCATGTCTTCCACCTTCAATGGCCATGTTTCACAGCTATTCGGATGCTATAAACTCAGGTGATTTCTAGTCTTAACCCTCGATTATGAACCGTTAAGTATGGTTGTTCGTTCTCACGACCCCGTATCATAACAATATCAAACTGTCTAGTCGTTAGTGTTGATTGAATTCGATGGGTCAAACTTGAAATACAATCGTATAGCTGAGAGATGTGATCTAATTGATTAGACAAAACAACACCTTTTGTGATGTATCAAACTTGCACTTGACTCGTTTGTAATAAAATAAATAATTACAAAATTATAAGTTAACAATCTCCACAGTTTGACCAATAAATTAAATATGAACTAGCCATTTCAATTATAAACAAACTTATTACTACATACGCACCACCTCAACAACTTTTATTTTCCGCTAATAAAATTCATAGTATATGTAACAACACAAAAACACTTAAGAAATAGTGTTATTGCTCGTATTATGCCATCGTTGGTTGGACCGAATTGATCGGTCTCTATTGGCGTATGGGCCTCGTGCGCAGATGCCTCGATATTGTATATGTTTTAATTATATATAGTAAAGATGGATGGATGTTTATACATTCTACTTCAGAAATGAAGTTGTTTGGTTTACTGACACAGCGCTGATGTTTAAACTTTCCATCTAATCTGAAAACGAACTACCTGTTATTAGCACTACAGTTATATTCAGTAATAAATTTGTCGGGATAATTTAAGGGAAGTGATGTGTTTCGGTAACACACTACTACCCTTACCCGGGGTCTATATACACTCAAACACTAACTAAAATTGAATGACCAACTTGCGGGTGATTAACCAATCAGGTGATGTAAGTCGAACTTTTTCGCATACACTGCTGATGAGCCTGGTCCAAAACAACCCAGCCGACTGTCCGGTGTTCAGATTACTTTGAACAGGTTAACCAGATCAGAAGATCAGCCTCAGTGGTTCCACACTAATCATGTTTTCCAGCAGTAGTATATTTCGATAGTTCATAACACTTCTGTGTCAGAGGTAACACCCTATGATCTCGGCCAAGTGGTTTCTAGACGAAACCTTTTTGACAGCTGTGAAGCTGTAGGAAATGTCAGCGTGGATCGTGCAATTTCTAAATTATTTCAAAATTGATCATCTTATTTAAGGTATACCGGTCCATCCAACTCAGATTGTTTTCAGGGATTCGGCTCTATGAGTTGAATCTGTTCGGGTACACTGCTGATGAGTTAGGCCACAAAGGGAAGAAACGGCCGTCCAGTGTTTGGACCACTCTGGTTTGGCTAGCAAAATCTACAGATCACCTTTACTGGTTCCAAACTACTTATGTTGTTTTTAGCATTACATTTCGATAGTGCATCAAATTGTATATAATCATGTGAGGTGGATAAAGTACTGTTCATTAAAACGTCTTTACCGTAGAATAAAACTTAATACTCGATTTGCAATTTTGTCACGAAAATATGAGAGAAAAAATGTTTCATTCTAGTAGAATATGCTTGAACACACTAGTTTATGGAGAATTCTGAACAATAAGAGAAAACGTTATATACAATAACTTGATAGAATGAACAAAATTATTATATAATACACTTACAATATCATATGAGGACGTGGAATCGGATTTCTTGTATGAGTTGCGTAGTCAGTAAGTGCAAATTGGATAATATTTTCATAATCCATTCGATATACCCTTTTAGAGTATCGGTACATGGCAGAACCTTTCAATCTTGAGTAAATTACACAGATATTATAAGATATTCTAACATCAGAAATGCGCGCTGATTAATAACAAGCGATTGGTATTAAGGTGTTATGTGACAAATAAGTATATGAAAATTCTTTAGGTGACAGAATTATCACGTCGATAAAAATGGACAGGGGTAACAGCTTAAACACTACTCAATTGTTGCCATATAACTTATATTTCAAGTGACACGTTTAGGAGTGCTCGCTCCTGAAAATAAACAAACGTCTACTTTTTTTCAAGTGCACTAGCAGTAACACAGCGTCCATACAACCTACAGTTATATGCAAAGAGCTAAGATGATAAAAAAAAACATTACACTTGTAAATAAAGGACTTTATTGAATAAACATTCATGTATGTTATTACCACCAGCGTTGGGTTCGAGTCTTGGTGGGGATAACATCACTTACTGGAAGGTAGGTACGTTCGGCTTATGAGTCCCAAATACGAAGGAACGTGTGTCCTGGATGTAAGAGCCACTTAGAGTTGCTACTTAGCATAAGGTATTCAGTAATTGCACATGTTCAGGTTGAAAACGTTCAACGTTTGTGCACTTTGATACAAGAATGATAGGCTTGTCTAGAACACCCAAAATTTTGCCAATCAATATATGTTTTATTATCCAGGGTATCGTAAGTGAAATGTTATCTATAATCTCACAACCTTAAAACCCAAAATGTAGGCTAAATATAAGTTGCGGTGTCGAACTAAAGACCAAAGTCGAAGCCTTAATACTTAACAGCTATTTATATGTATACTATTACGCTACAAGGTCCAGTAAAGTAAGCAGGGGATAGCAAGACAGACTATGCTTTTTCATGATCGTTGAACATCTCCACATAGATCTTAACTGAAGAGTGACCTCAACCATAAAAAGTGAATAACTTTTACAAAGGACTGACCTCCATAAAGATCGTGCTACAAGATGAAGATGTGAATATCAACCTCATATGTTTATGCACGGGGAAAAGCTTGAATAATTACAGCTTGTAATTTTCAATTGTTGATTGGACTGAAGTGATTGAAGGAATAAGAATATTAAGGAATCGCCATGGTGAACTTGAGTTGATAAGTGATAAAATATGAAAGGGTACAGAAAAGGAACTGAATTTCAAATCCAATGATATTTGGACAAATATTATTTGTCGCTAACAGGCCGTGGTGGTACGTTGGTCAATGACCTTTGACCGTGTAGTCTTAGCTTGAAAGAGAAATTTCCACTTACTGCAGAATATTGTCAGGTTACTGCCGCGATAATGAGGCGTGAATTTACTGTTGGTTAGTTACACAGGCATGGATATTATCTCTTTCTTCTGCATTAAAAGTGCATTGCTTTCGTAATTGCACTTAACACTTGCCTTATTTACCTTTGTGAGATGCGGGTGAAATTCATCCTCGAGAACAATCACTATGTGCAGAGACCCTGGATTTCCATGGCCTTTTTGTATTTTGTACCTTATGCCTACTCACATAAACACGCTGATTATCCGTGGCCAGAGAAGTGGAACCAGCATGAAGTGGTACAAATATATAATTGATCCTGTAAACTGATGCATTCTGTATTCCCATCCGCAGTGTCGGGCACTATCATGACTCAGTTACCTACCTGGATGTTGTTCTCCCAATTTGTCGACTCATGCCGTTTTTTGAGTGGGGAAGCACACTCCTCGGACCGGCTTTTCCAAAGTAGTTCTGAAAGATAATCGATTTGTTATCTCCTGGAAAACCCACCATTCTTGTAAATTCCCCTGAGCCCTTCCAAGTTGTTTTGCAGCAGCATCAAATTTTCTGGAGTTAGTGCTGTTAAGCCCTCGGCGTCGGATGTGTATGGAACCGATGGATGGTTGCTGATAATACGTTCGGCGCCCGTCATACATGTCGTGAGAACTTCATTCGCTAATTGCTGCTCATCTTGTGGATCATGGGTTCCTAAACATCAACCCGGTGGCCCGGCACTGGTGGATTGGAATGCCAACGAATCTTTTTGCCAGGCAAGTTACTGCAAATCATTTCTCGCTTCGGCTCTCCCGAATATATATCCAGCTTATTCTTGGCCCCTATTAGGTTATACTTAATGCTGTTGAATATCACTTCCGGATACCATTTGGTTAGACTTAACGTGCTGTCCGTTGGCATTCTTTCCATATCCATTTCTCATGCTGCGTGGCCTCATTCACTTGGGGCGTTGACTCCACGACCCGTGAACATCCAGTGATCTGTCTGATCAGTCAAAAAACTGCCCTCTCGAGAACGTATCGCATTCGCTCGGCCAAAGAAGCAGCCTTGGAGAAGATATCATTGGAAGCCAAATAATCACCCACATAGAGGCTTACGCCAGTAACCTCTGTAGCTGCACTATACTCTCCAGCACCGTGTGCCTACGGTCTTTCTGAGTGCGTAGTTCGCGAAGAAAGGCAACGAGACCACACCAACTGGGTGGCCCGTGGGCAGATATCTGGGGGTCTTCTAGTCCATGTCAGCGTGCTTCCGCCATAAGAGCAGAAGAACTGGCCTATTGTGCTCCAGAATCCGGACTTGCAAGGATATGTATCTTCACCGTCAGCTGAAACAGCAGTGGCCCCACCTCTAAACTTCAAAGGTACCCCGACCGAAATTTTGGCCACATTTTTTCCTTTTGAGAGCTGTTCAGTCAGCGAAGTACCGTGGTGACCATCCGCGCACTGTCTCTAACTTGTCGGGTTCCCAAGGGCCAAAGACTAGATGATATGGAATATGCCACCGAAGCCTTCCTGACGATGAATAAGGAGCATTCCATTTGACTATGCAACATCTTTGAAGGTGCTTATTCAAGACTTGTCTACGTCTCCCGAGTAGATCGCTATCCTTGGCTAACCGTTTTCTCAGGCACTCAGATCTACGTAAAGACATTTCAAAATTATTGGGTAAACCAGGTTAGGGTCGCACAATCTCGAATTTTTCGTTGACTAGTCTGGTGGAACGATCCTTAATTTCCACGCCCTATTTCCTCCCATGAAAAGTGTTGTACCAAAACCACCAGTATCTGTGAGCCCATGAACATACAATCTCTCTAAGTTATCTGACACACTACAGTTATTCGAACTCCGGTAGAAGACAACCCTGTGCATGGGTCTGTCTTGTATTGGACTCAACACAAACTATCCCAAGTGAATTTTAACACCAAACGACTGATTTTTACCTTTGAGACTGTGTTTTAAGGCGGAACATGCATGTGCGGCTTCACACTTGGTCACAATTCCAGCACTATCGCTGGGTAACCGTGGGATTCAGTGCTTCTCGGGTGGCCCCAGACCTCAGTCTGTTGTTCGGGTAGGGCGTGTGGACCCAATATTGGTAAATGGCTGGTGGCGCACGTCCTCCGCATCTTCAGTTAACCATGCTTAACCAGTAAGTAGAGCTCTACCCCTGTTCCTTGGTATTACCGCGGGAGAGCCCCATTCACGGTAATCACACTCAAGGAGGAATTTTTGCCCGTTAAGCCTAGATGCTTGACAGCTTGCTCGGACATCGATGGCGTATCCGATCCATTATCCGATAACGCAAAAGCTCCCACGCACCCTTTGAGACCCATCAGCTTCACTGCAACAATGTACAGCTTTACTTCAGGATGTCTTATGCCCCTCCCTTTCAAAGTGAGTTATGGATCCGGTTACGCTAACTTCACTGTCTACCACATCCAGCGAAGAGGGGTGATCTACCCTGGAGTCTTTAAACTTGCGCACAATTCCGGAACTGCAAAGCCTGGCTATGTGACGCCTCTTTAAACAGGTGTAGCAAACAGAAATTTCTGTTATTACCGGTCTTCTTTCGCTAACCATCATTGTTAGTAACTTCGGACATTGAAGTAGGCTGTGGGGAGCGTGGTATAAATGCAATTCTTGGGACGAGTTATTTTCGTGACCAGCTATCCTTAACTCCTACTAAGCTTGAACGAAACCTAACAAGTTGTGAGGCGGAGCTATTCGTCAAGCTACTCTGCAGATTGCGTCACGCCAGGAAGCCATATCTCGATCGTGCCACTCAAGCTCTTCCTTGAGCCAAACATACTAATTCCCCAAATTCAGGTTTCTTTGTGGTAACCAAAATCTTGTCTGCCACGTCAGCCCATATGGTTTGCAAAGTTGCAGATATGCTACTTAGAGTAGCCTCCAATTCGACCGGAGAATTCAAGCCTGCAACACGGTCCGCCCGCGACGGCGTCATTGACACAATCCTGAGTCTGACAAAGAAACTCACTGATATCCTCAGCCATATGGTCCACTGGATATTTATTTCTCTCTAGATCAGTGGTAAGCGCCCGAGCGAGTATATGTTCCTGCCCAAGCGGATCGCAGGGGATTTCTCTTAGTCTATTATATCCGAGACTGGTAGGCAATGATATACATGCCTTGCGATTGTCCTTATCTTTTCTTCGCAAAAATGTCGCAAGTAAGTCAATGTCCGACTTTATCCACCAAGTCCGTTTCCAACTGCAATTCTAAACCGACCAATAAACAACTGGTATTGGCTGGACTGATCGTCAAAATTTATCACTTCTATCCTTAGCAAGGAGGCGTTGATCACGACCTCTCAAGGTCGATACAAAGTTTCTTTAGCTGAAGCAGGTTTTTCGCGTTTTTATAGCACACTTAGTTCCGGAACGACTGCCTGTCTCAACTTCTGACACATCACAAAACAACATGAACCTTCACCCCAGTTCCCCGCCAGGCCTTTTTCTGCGGCAAACGGTTGGGTGTCTTATGACTGATATCACTACACCTACTTTCTGAACTAGGCCCAGCAACACCATCAACACTCATTTTAACTTCAAGGTCGTCCTGCAAAGTATTAGAAAGTTCCAAGTTATCATCGGTATGTGAAACCATCTTTCAAAGTCTTGATCCAGTGTTTTGAAATCGTTCAGAAGCTTCATTTTTGTGATCACAAGAGATCGT